ATTTTAAACAAGGACAACGGTGCACGCTCCTAGCGCTTGCCGGTGACTTGTGAATGCATGGAGCGATTGAACGGCAGAAAACCATGAATCTTATAGCGTCAAGTCACCTTTGCATAGGAGACGAACGGCCGATAAACGGGGCAAACAAAGGCGCCCAGCTGTCGACTCCCTGGCCGGGACCTTCCATCCGTTCCTTGATTGCAAAGGCGAGGACTACACGTAGTCGTCAAAGCGATGAAGGTGTATCATACGAGCAAAACTTACTTGCAAGGACGCCAGATCGAATTCCACTGGATTCAACTCGACATAGACGCTGGACATCCTGCAAGAATAATACGAGCTGCGTAAAACCAACGACTTGACAAAGGTGCACGCACCTCTTAACCCCTAACCACTCGCTGTACGGTTCACCGAGCCACACATCAAACACTGAACCCCTCCTGTCCTTCGTTTATCGTCTAGATACTGCCATCATGTCCATCCCTACAACTCGACCAAGTCAAGATGCGTCGCATCAGAACGAACGACGAGTCTACATTCGGCGAAGCGAGGAGATGGAGAACGCATCGTGATGATCAGGAATGTGCACCCCTTGACTTGTGGAAATGGGTGGGTCCTGCCTGTGATCAGTGCGTTGTCCTACCAGTTTCGAGAGCCTTCTTAACGCACTGCACTTCTGCCCTGCCCTCGTCGTCCTCCGTGAGTGTTCCATACCGGTGGGAAAGCAGTACACCATCCCGGCAAAGAATTCAACATCCACCGAGCTCATAGTGACATGGATGTCATCGTATTGGTGTTCAACGAGAACCGGTGGAAAGGCGGAGCGCAGGAACTTTGGTTATGGTAGTTTAGCCTCATTGTTCTCTTCAAAAACTGGATACCGTGTTTCGTTCACTTCATGAGCTGGTCGGTAGTTTTCAAGAGGGCGCAGATGTCATAGTAGCATGAAAGCAAAAAGGAAAGAAACACGTTTTGTTTGCCAGTTCTTTGGGTGCCAATTATCTCGGGTCCGCCCGTGCATACATAATGTTCACAACGTCATTACTGCTTCGGTTGGTTTCGAATCTCGATCAAGGGTAAGTTCTCCGATTCCTACACCTATATATTCCTCTGAAAACAGTACATGCAAGTCGAATCAGACTTTGATCCCACAACCATCATGATGTATGAACCTTCTGCCCACATCGTCTACACCAAGGAGTTTATCCACAAATGCCGTGGTTATCCATTTTGGCATCCAGAGCCAGATTCTTTCGCACCGGATGAGTTCAAGATACGGGGCATATTTCCCGGAGATGTCGGGATCCTTAACAAAGATGGAGGCTTCGACTTTCTCTTCAGCATCTTCGGGAACGCTAATGGCCTAGTCGTCGGAAATGCACCTCCTGGCCTTCAACCTCTCCCTGTACCGGACCAACCAGAGGTACAAGCTTATCCGGAGCTCTGGGATGTTCTTAAAAGTCAGCACGTATCCTGCAGATACGTTTCAGATGTTCCTGCTGAGAGTCTTCCCGGGTGAGTAGATATCCATATTCGTTATTTCATTTTCTTATCTTGATGATAGCATTGTGGATACTGGCGTGGCCTTTGATGTTAGTATCTCAGAGGTTCCCGCAGCAATCTTGCACCTTCCAAATTATTCGACGAGGTATGAAACTATGAACGAAGCCTTCTTTCAAAACTACGCTCGACAATATGGAGTATCATGGTACAACCATGCCAACAGAACCTTGGGTCGGAATGTGCGAAACGGTTTTTTTGTATCTTGTATCCGGGTGCGACAAAACAATGACTTGGGGAAACGCAGTCATCAGAAAGACAGATCGGTCTTTCACGTTTTATCTCAAGTGTACTTTGGAAAATGTGGGTGGGGAAGCAGTTAAAGTTGCAAACAAGTGGATCGATGATGCTGGAGTGGAGGATGGCTTATTCCCGAATCCTTACGTCCGCTACCCTTACCCAATAGGTCTTCAGAACCAGTGCATATTCGCACGGGGTTTTACCATATCGCTTTCAGAAAAATTGTTCCGCAAAACGTGGTCGGCAGTTCCTCATTTCATCAAAGGCTCCCCCGAAGATAGGCTTCCCTCTTTCGATAGTAACAAGGTACCTCACCCGCCGAGCGACGGAAAGACTAGATTTTCGACTTATCTTTCCTCGTTCATTGGTTCCAAGCCGGTACCAAACAACTCGGACTCGGATCAGAGAAGGATGATGGCAGAGAACGCTGACTCCCATGGATCATTTATCGCAGAAGTACCTGAATTTCCACCTCTGGGAAGCCAGGTGACATTTATGTCGACCATTTTCGGTACATACTGAAACCAGTCTTACATTTAGGTCTTGAATCCTTCGATGGTGATGAATGAATACTTGTTGAGCAAGGTAAGTAATTACATATAGGCAACAATTCATGTTGATACATAATATTCCTCATAGGACCCTTCCCTCGAGATAGCAGTCACGCATGATAAAGAGTGGATGGACGTCATGAAAAAGTACGAGAAGGATACACACTTAACGGAAGAGGAGCTCTGGTGCAGATTAAAAGATTCGTTGGATGCCAAGCTGTCTAGCAACGTTTATCAAACTGTGAGTGTCCATCTCAGACCATAGAGGTTGATACTGATTAGCACTGGTTTAGCCCTCACACCCGTCTCGACTTTGGACCGGCATTGACGCATATTCAACCTTTCCGCCACATAGTTGTGTATCGGATACTACTGGGAAGGTTGCCGTGTTGATCTGAAGATTGGGCTCTGAGAAGGGCGAGTTCCTCTGAATGCGGAGGAGAGAGAGGACACCTTCAGGTCGACGCGTGCGGGGAAGAACGCAATGGAGCAAAGTGTGCGCGGGTGGTATGTGCAGGAGGTGCACAAACCCTAACCCAGGGGAAGAAACGAGGAGTGGAGGGAGCAAGAGGCTGATTGTTCGCATCACAGAAAGCTTGGGGCCGGTGAGCGAAGCGCCGTCAGAACCGAATCTCCTCCAGTAACGCTATCCTCGTGCAAGTTAATACCCATTATCAAAGGCAAGGGCAGGTGTTATATCGAAATGTCGTCGTGTCAGAATTGATCCCGAAGCAATGGATGGCACTGCAGGAAGGCTGGGTACTGTGAAAGTGATCGAAGAGTAAACGTTGTTGAGAGTAGCGATGGTGGTAAGTAGTGGTCATATCTAGCCATGTGCTGTGGCTGTGAAGTTCAACCTACCGAATCGTGGCTAATGAAATTAAGTCGCCGGCACCTATGCTCTCGCTACAAGACCCTCTCTGCTTATTTTGCATTATCTGCCGTCCTCCTCTGCATCTTCCGATTTTCGAACGACCTTGATTTCCATGCCATGTTTCAAACGGTTTATGTAACCTTCGGCGCCACTCGACGTGAAACAAACCGAATACCCAGTTTAGGAGACCAATATCGTCGACGGCCACCAACCCTACAAGCTCTACAGCTGTGGTAAGCCCAGAATTTCTTTTTATCTAGATTTCCCGTTCTGAAGTGTTTTGTATAGCTAACCGTCGTTTTAGGTTAGGCGCAAAACATGCTAGTAGGGGAGAATCTCGACGCAGCCGTCTCTGCAGAATAAGGCTTTGAAGAGCGGGGTGTACGGTGAGAATCGGTTCTCGTTTTTTCCTGCTCGATTGTGGTTCGTCCTATAACATTTTCTGCTTGTAAATCTTCTGACTGGTTTTTTTTTCACAGCGTACACGTCGTGCCAACAGTTGGCAAGCGTATCGCACCGGCTTAGTTCGCGGCCACTGCGGTTTTGTGGTTCGTATCGGTTGTCGGTGTAGGTGGTGGTACTGTTCGGGTCATATTTGAAGGTGCGTTCGGTTCACGAATTTTGTCCGTTGGTATTCTGTTCTGACAAGAACATGTAGCCTACGTACAGTGTGTGCACGCCCACCAACATCGGTGGCAGAGTCCTCATCCGCATCCACAAGATGGTCGCACCTGACGTGGATGTGCAGCGTGGCCGAGGACGATCCCCATGTTTGCACTCACGAAACGCAGCGCAAGAGCTCAGTTTACGACAACGAAGGATGCTCGTTTTCGTTGTGGATGAACTTGGTGGTATCAAGGTGTCGTGTATTAAAAGGTACGTTTACTTTGCAATAGATATTCAATGGTAGCTTATGCAGAGTGCAGGCGCACCCATGGCGACAGACTCACGCTATGCAGATGTGTACCCTACCTGAGCACCATCCTGCACGATGCCAGCCCTCGAACTCCCTCCAGCTGACACGACATGCAGTTGCCTGGTGAGACGCTGCTGCAGGCACGGAGAGGAAGGAGGGCGGTCGACGGCTAAAGATGAAAGACGGGAGAGGCGGTCCGAAGGGAGGTGCTGGATGTGATGGAGTGCAGACAGCGGAGGAAGGCGATGTTGACGCACATAGTCGTACGAGGTCTCCTTTGAATGCATCGTTTGTTGATACTGCTTTCCTTGCTAGTCGTTCTAAATCCGTACGGTATTGTTGTCCTCATATTGCCATGTTATCCACGATTTCCCACACCCGGCCCACAGGTCGTAAGGTTCTTCTCCAATCATGTACTTAATTATCCACTGATACCCTCAACCGAACCCAAGGCCGAGCTCACGGTCAACTTTAAGTTGCTGGGTAGAACCTAGGGTCCAGTTGAAGGCCTCCAGGGCCTGCCATCTGCAGTCCCTCCGTAAGGGCGATACATTGATAGCTTGTAAACGTTTTTCAGCGCTCGGTAGCAATATTCGCTGTTACCTTGATAGACGGACGATGAGAGCAAATATTTCAATAGTGCTGTATCCTCGTGGGGTGCGGAGGGTGGAGTCTGAGCGAGATCACTCCGGAAGCTCTTGCGTAAGTCTTGCATCTTTCTCATCATTCCTTCTCTTCATTTAACCCCGGTTCGTCGTCACTGTCTTCATCTCCGATGCAACGAAATAATACATGTTCGGGGGTCTCGACGTCAATGCGACTCAATTTATTTTCATGCTCGGTAGTGGGTGTAGTCCATCTTGATTCTTAGGCGCTCCACCGCTAACCTGTGCGTCGACAGTACAATCGAGACAAGCGCGTCTCGGTGGTTTGGCATCGTCACGTCAAGGTAATTTCGCATTCTCAGAGCTACAGGCACCGGGGCCTTTCCCTTCCTTGGCCCCTTGCATCCATGGAGGAGATACAGTTTCTCTGATTTACTAATCTTAGTTAAAACCCATTTCTCCGTAGATCGCTCAACATTTTTTCTATATTCCTCTATCGTCTCAGGATCCAATATGTCGGGAGGAATTGGTTGCAAGCCGAGTTTCAACCGAAGGCACAATGTGTTGCGTGCCAGTAATGAAGATTTGAAATGGCACCTGTACTGGTATACTGGAAATTTCAGTTCGTTTACAACCTTTTCTCACCTGCCTCAATACCCTGAGATGCATATACTTAGATTCGGCGGTTCGGCAGCACAAATTTCATCGGAGATGCTCAGCATCCGAGCAGTGGGCGCCTATCTCACTCTTCTTTTCTCTCCCACCACTCAACAGCTATGCCTTCCAATCCTGCAGCACAAGACGGAGACGACAAAAACCCGCAAACGTCACCCAATGAACATCAAGGCAACTCAAAGTCACTGGATGATGCTGCTAGTGATTCTCAGCCTCTGGCCTTGGATGAGAATTCGCCAGCTTATTCCCTGCCGCGATGGCGCAAGCTACTTCGCAATGTATTTGGCATGCAGCAACGTGTATCCCAGGCTGGAGGTGTGTTGATCTATAGTTGCACTTTCCATATATCTCATTGAGAGAAAAGGGAATGACACGTTCGACTATGAGCAAAAATTCCCCGAAGACAGGCAGTACGAAGAGCTGGGTCCGATTGCCAGGGTATGGAGGACATACCTCGAAGAATGTGCTAGATTTGACGCTGAGATGGTGGAACAATGGAGGGATGGATTGGATGTTTTGCTAGTTTTCGTGAGTACAAATAGTATTAATAAATCTAATTTTTCTTTCTTAATGGACGAATAGGCTGGACTTTTCTCTGCCGTGGTCACTTCTCTTGTCCAACAGACGTCCCAGAGCCTACAAACCGACTATGCTGAAGTCGCGGCGCAGCAGTTGTTCGAACTCATCAATGTCCAGCGCGCAGCAGCCGATGGTTCCCCCGTGAACGATGTTCCTCGTTCAGGCCTTACTCCATTCTCAGAATTTCACCCTACAACTTCCGATTCGTTGGTCAATGGACTGTGGTTCACCAGTCTCTCATTGAGTCTGACTACCGCACTCTTCGCTGTCCTGACGAAACAATGGATCCATGAGTACATGGCAGTTCCATCGGGCACGCCTCGAGATAGATGCCGTGTACGTCAATTCCGATACATGGGACTAGAGCAGTGGGGCGTGGGTTTCATTATTGGACTACTCCCTGTCCTGATGAGCGCGTCGCTTTGTGTCTTTCTAGTGGGTCTAGTTATTTTTCTAGTCCCGCTGCAAGTGGCGATTGCATTCGTTGTTGGGGCAATCACATTCATATCTTTCGCTGCGTATTTCATCACCAACTTCCTGCCCATTATATACCCCTCGTGCCCATACAAGACGCCATTGTCACAGTACATCTTCCCTCTATATTCCCACATTGCCCATAATGGCATCTTCACTTCAGTCATCTCTCTGATTTCCACATACTGTTTTGGGTCTTCACCAGTTACCGAATCTTCCCCAGTCACCAAAAAGTCTTCGCTTCGTACACTTCGAGAAGCAGAGCATGAAGCTGTTAAGCTGAATGCCGATGAAACAGATGCACGCGCCTTGTCCTGGTTGTTCTCCGTGTCATCTAACCCTAGCGTTCAAAGGATTGTCGCGGAATCAACTGGCGCTTTACCGATCCGATCCGTGGAGTCCATACAACGTTATGCAGAAGGGCTTCCGTGTGTCTGCGCCTATTCACTCCAAGAACTTTTGGTAGATGCCCGACGAAGCGATGTTGTTGACACAAGCAAACTAGACCGCTGTATCCGTGCACATCTTCGTTTCCAATTTCCAGGTATCTTATCCCAGAGTATAGTGGGCAGGACCAATTGGCGCCGGATCTTCGTGCAGAGCTTTGGGCTGCTGAAACCTATGGGGAGCGGCAAAATATCCGAGACCTCATTGTAGCTAATCTACGTGCCCGGTCGGACAGGCAGAACCTACGTCTCCAACCCATAGTGTGGGGTTGTCTTCTTTCCAAGATCCTACCCCTTGACCGGGAAGTGTATGAACTTCTATTCCATGCGCTTCCGACGACCTACTGGTGTGCCGATTGTGAACTTCCTCCCCAGTTCTATCCAGATAATAGATTATCGATATCGATGATACCCACAGGTGACCGTCCGGATACTCTTTTCACAGCCATCTCCGAATCCCTATCCGCGTACATCGGTCATATCTTGCTCGAACCCTGTGACGATTTTATGGTCCAGGATAGTGTATTCTATCATGATCTCACATCTCAGCTCCCTGAACCCAATGATCGCCGAGTTCGTTTTTTCTTGACCATTGTAGGTTCCCCTTCAATACACAGGATGCATGCAGATCCCTTTGTGGGAACATTTTTCAGCGCTGTCCTACGGAGGATTATGGTTTACATGGGTGTCGAAAGATATAGAATCCATCAACCTGAAGGCAGTGTGTCCCCTATTCTCCTTGACAACAATCACTCTGCCGTCCTAAGGCTACTGCGCGCGCTGGTTTTATCGGACGAGTACGGCGTTGGCAGCGATTCAATGTTCGCAGAAGATCGGTGTGTCACTTTGATCGCCTTCTTTCGAGTTCTCGGCTGCATATCGCCTCGCCCTCCTGAAGACAGCTTTCCTGCCGAGTTGGCTGCCAAATTTGCGTCCATTGCCTTTCAAGATGATGCGTGGTCATCGACACCCCCAATATACGATGCAGATAGCTTACAACATGCCGCAGAAGCAATCGAACTCATCATTTTTCTATTTAAGCATTCATCCACCATGAATGCGGCTTTTTCTCGTTTCGTTGACAAGCGGCTCTTCGACTCGTTCACTGGGAACTCCAGCTCCGTCTCCATCCCCACTACTACCTGGGGCTTATCAGAAATCATAGGCGCCTTTGTCGCTGGGCTGTCATCAGGGAAATTGGATCCTCAGACACGCCAGAGATCTCTGGAATACCTCCATGAACCAGGGTCGCTTCACACAGCTTGCGCTGTCCTACTCACTAAGGAAAACATCACTGCACTTCATCAACTCGCACTTTTGCGTCGCAATGACCCTGTTTGGTCTCTATGCTTGCAGAGTCTTCAAGAGGTAGAGTTTCCTCCGGATCTCACACTTTATTACCCCCTTTCCAAGTCGATACCCCAACATATCGCAGATCTTAAGGCTTTCATCGAACGAAATTGTGTAGAACTCGGAACGGACGCTTATGGGTCTTGCACAGCTCCCGACGTGCGACCGATTCGGGGGGACGATAAACCGACGAAAAGTGCTAGGTCAAAAGTGAAGTCGCTGCCTCTTCCATTGCGTTGGGTCAGGCAACTCCGTGCTAGAGAACCTCTTCCCGAGGAAGTAGCAATGTCAAGCAACGATAACCAAGTTTGATGGCATCCGAGAACACACCGATGCTGTAGTGTACAATGATCATTCTGATAGCTCCTGTATTTTACTGGACAGAGCGACTTGTATCAGGACTCGGGTGATCACGTTGAGGCTTGAAGCGGTCTTTCGTTTTAATATTTAGCTTGCAAACAGTCCACCTCTTTTGATTACGTACCCACTACATTTGAATATAACTACACTCTCAGTTTCCTCCCTTGCAGGGTTCAAAAAAAAAAAAAAACAGCCAGCCTTGGGAGTTGGGACTTGCTCATGACGGCTATCCATCATACTGGAACCCCATCATCATTCCCTACGACCTCTCCAGGCTTGTCTGAGTCCGCCTCTTCGACCAGAAACCATCCCGGAGTCGCGCGTGCTACGCCTGAATTCGTTTTGAAACAATCCTGGGGTTGGTTGTAGTTCGGAAGCTTCAAGCCAATGTTAGTCCTGATATCAAGTTATTGACTTGATCGAAGACTTACCTCGCTCGCCGGACAGCGATATGTCCGTCGTCTCGGGGAAATCACCATTGATGCCCATGGCAAATCCAAATCCAGCTTACATTCAACGTGCCCAGGTTAATCTGGCTTCAAGCCAACCAACTTCTAAACCATCCAGTAAGCGCAGGAAATTTTTTCGGAGATGACGCACCCGACGTCACACGGAGTATCCCAGGCATCGAGCTTTGGCAAGACGACTCTAGATTTCGCGTGAATACAGCAGTTCCGAGTGGTTCAGACAGTCGGCAAGAGGTGCAGCTATAGTCGCATGCAAGTCTTGCTTCCCAAGATCGTGATGGACGTGAATTCGATTTCGAATTTGAACCTTGACAGCGGTGCGCCAGGGGAAGATTTCCTGTTGCTGCGATCACCTTGACATGCAAATCCAGGGTCCTCTGACGCCATGGTCGGAGCCACTCAAACGAACTGTGAGATAAATGTTTGATACACAATCATCACGTCCTGCGTTGGGCGAGAAGGTGGGATTTATTGACGCTGTTATTGCACCCGGGCTCACCCAATCTTCTCAAGATCCTCGCTAAATCAGTCGTAAGTACATCCAAGTCCGTATCCCAAATTGAACGTCAAGTGGCTTACATTCGAGTACCCCGATCTAACCGAGGCAGATACTGTATTGCCAGCGGAGAAATATGAGCCTTCATGTCATCGTAAGTGTTGATACCAATACTCTTGATTCTAATTAATTAACTTACGGGATAAAGTAGGGAATCCGCTTGAATATGGGCTTTGCACACCGCAGCATACACGCAAAAAGTACGTTCTTCATTCATGCCAAATGTTGCAATGGACGTTGATTTGCATTTTCCCTTCCTAGATGAAATCGGCGGTGGGGATGGCCAGGGGTTGGTGGGAGATCTGATCTCAGAACGAATCTTGTAGTATGTCAAGTTTTGAACGCTGGCTTGCGCATCGTGAATTCTATGATTTTCATGAAGTAGAAGCAGGAATTGGGGCTGCTGGTGGGAGGAGACATATCTCTATGTACCCGAATCGATTATAGAAGGCGGAATTTTGAATCTCGAGGAGTGAATCGTAGTTCAAACGAGCCATAGATTAAGGTCTAGTTACATGAATATAATGCAATTTTCTACTATTGAATGAAAAAGATTAGAATGAACTCGGTTCTCGTTCGCTTGAAAAAATAACGCT